CAACTCCCCTCCCTGGCCCCCTTCCACACTCTGCTGTGCCCTCCCCTGGGCCCCCCCTCCCTTCCCAGCTCTGCCTGGAACACACTGCCAGCCCTCTCTCTGCCCCTGTCCCCAGTTTTCCCACAGCTGGCCTCTTCTCTTCTTTGGCTGGTTCTTGGCTCCAGGACCACCTTCTCAAAGTCCTTCTCTGACAAATTTACCTAGATTGCCTCTCACTTCCCACCACCCTTATCTTCCTTCAAGGCGCTGACCACAGTTTACCACTATCTGTTTCTCCTTTGTTGTCTGGCTCCCATACTAGGCAGGTTGTCACTGACGGAACGTTTGTGTCTCCCAACATTCAGATGTTGAAGCCCTAACTGCCACCCCAGGATGGCTGTATTCTGAGATGCCTCTAAGGCAGTAATTAAGGTTAAATGAGGTCACAAGGGTGGGTCTCTGATCCAATAAGATTAGTATTCTTCTTCTTACTAGTTTTTTTAACCATTTATTCTGTTTTCGAGAGACAGAGAGAGACAGTGTGAGAGGGGCAAGGACAGAGAGAGAGAGGGAGACACAGAATCCGAAGCAGGCTCCAGGCTCTGAGCCATCAGCACAGAGCCCGACGCGAGGCTCGAACCCACAAACCGCGAGATCACGACCTGAACTGAAGTCGGACACTTAACCAACTGAGCCACCCAGGTGCCCCAAGATTGGTGTTTCTATAAGAAGAGACACCGGAGAGGGACCTCACTCTGTCCACACACCACACCAAGGAGAACCATGGGAGACCATGAGGAGAAGGCGGCTGGCTGGCTACAGACCAGGAGGAGAGCTTGCACCAAGCACTGACCCTGCCAGACCTCGATCTAGGACTGCCAGCCTCCAGAACTGTGAGGGAGTAAATGTCTGTGCTGTATCTGACCAGCCTGTGTCTTCTGTCCTGTGGCTCCAGCTAAGACACAGATGCTTGTTTGCCTATGAGGGACATAGCAGTTGGCACGTGGCAGGGACTTGGTAAATATCAGTTAAAGGAAGGAGCGAAACTTCTCCTCTGTGCTGCATTTCAAGGTGTCTGGGAAATGGTGAAAGCATCAGGGCTTGGAAATCAACGGACCTGGACTGGGTCATAGTCTTGGCCCTGCCATGGCACCACCATGAACTCGTTGTGTCTCTTCCCTCTCTGAGTCCCAGTCCCCTGATCGGTAAGGTAGTACAACTCAACAAGATGACCTTTTGAGTTCCTTCTAGTGATAAAATGACATAAGAAAAAGAGCTCCCCTCTCTGGGGTGCTGACGGTGAGTGGGGCACTCACTGTACTTGTCCCTTTCCTCTGCTGCTCCTCCCTCCTGCCTAGAGAGGGAGAGACACCCATGTCGTCAGCATGTCACAGGTGAGAAACCCCAGAGCAGTCCCCACCAGAAAGGGAAGGAGTGCTCTTAACATCAAAAGACATTGTCCTTTATCCTGAGATTATGTCCTTCCAGCTTTTAGAGACCGAAATATTCTTTCTTTTAGGAAATGACAACCCTTTTAAGGTACTTAGAAAAATGAGAATTGGCCATCTATGCCAGTCCCTAGAATTCATTTGGAAATTTGATAGCTGTATGAAATCCCGAAGTCTTGAGCCACATAAATTATGTATATGGAAAGGTGTTTTTTTAAGTTTATTTACGCTGAGAAAGAGAGAGAGACAGTGAGCACAAGCAGGGGAGGTCCAGAGAGAAGGAGAGACAGAATCCCAAGCAGGCTCTGCACCATCAGCGCAGAGCCCGACGTGGGGCTTGAGCTCACGAACTGTGAGATCACGACCTGAGCCGAGATCAAGAGTTGGACGCTTAACTGACTGTGCCACACAGGCACCCCTGGAGGGGTTTTTCCTAATTATTATTATTTTGGAGTTTCTGCTATGCATTAAGCATAATCAGGGCACACAGGGATAAATTACAGCTTCAGAGGCACATTCCAAGAGGCCTGGATTCATATCAGAGCTCAGCCTGTAGTACCTTAGGCAAGTGAAGTAACCTCCTTGAGCCTCGATTTCCTCATCTGTAAAGTGGGGGTGATAATAGTGCCTTCCTTATGTAATCTAGACACTGAGTCTAGATTTAGGCACAGAGAATAGACTCCATCCACGAGAATTACGATTATCACCATTGTCATGCAGTCAGTGAGAAAGTCACAGTGGTCAGCCAGTGACTGTGAAGGGCTCCCCGGGGAACAAGGCCGGGCAAGAATTCCCATCTGGGTAGGAGTTTCAGTGTTGTTTCTAGAGTCACCAACTCCCCCCGCCCCAAAGGACTACTTTGTGTTCATTTCCACCAAGTTGCACGACTCCACGCAAGGCCCTTCCCAGCCCTCTGCCTCGGTTCTCTAATCTGTTAAAGGGGCGCAATTACTTTCACCCCATTGCACAGTGGAACTGAAACTCCGGCCGGTAGCGGAACCACCCGGGGAAGTGGGTCTAAATGCAAAGGCCCAGATTCTCCCGGCTTCAATGAGTCAGAGTCTCTCTGTGCTTTAGCACCTCCCCGAGATGCTTCTGATACTCTCCAGCTTTCCAAACTGCCATCAAAGAATCAAAGAAACAAGGCCCTCTGTTTACTGTAAAGGGTCAGAAAAGATGATTATCACTATTTAAGTCCCATTTATTCCACCCTCTATGGAGATGCCGAGTGAGTAGCTGCTTGTGTCCCAACAAGGGAAGCTGGGTGTGCAGCTCAGCATCCCGTGGGGATGAAAAACACAAGCCCTGGGGTCCTCGGCACTTTGGAAATCCCCTACCACTTTGTATCCTTTTCACAAAGCGGGGACAGAGAGAGGAGCAATACCTTTCCCAGCGTCACCGCAGATTCGTGGTTAAGAGCCACCGTGGAACCAAGAGCTACAGGTGCCTGGGCCAGTGTCAAAGGGCTTGTTTGGAGGGCCCCCCCCCCATCCTGGAAGAAGACCTCTGGCCAGCTGGCAGGTGGCACAGCAAGGTGGAGGTCTATGGGCAGCACTCTGCCAGTTTCCTTTTAGCTGAGGATGCCTGGGAAGAGCCCCAGCAAAGTCCCGGATTCCAGCAGCTCCTTTCCCAAAGGTCCGAAGACGAACTCAGGCATCTCACAACCTGGGGAGGAAAACAGGAACTGGCCCCATATCCAAACATCTCAAGCTCCTTGACAATCTTATTTCTCCATCTTGTTGCTTAAGCGGGCACACAGATCTATTGGTGGGGTGAGAGCCGAGATTAGCATCGAATTGTAGAGTCTCCATGCTGCGGCTGGACAGACCAGAGGCTGCAGCCTGCTGTCCCACAGACGGTGCCAGACTAGCGAAGAGAGGGCGTTTCTCAAACCACAGCAAGTGTCTCAGTCGATTCAGGGCAAGAAGCTTAAGGGTGGGGCCGGGATTCAAACCAAGGGGTCAACGTAGTGGTCAGGGCCACAGGCCTCAGAGACAGAAAGATCTGGCTAGGGTAGATTTGGGACTCTGCCCAGGATTGGCTGTGACCTCGGGCATGCTATTCTTTACCTCTCTAAGCCTCAGTTTCCACATCTGTAAAAACAAAGTGGCAATGCTCCCCAGAGAGGTAGCCAGGTTTTTTGGAGCCTGACGATTAACCCACTTGGTGGGTGGGGGGTGTCGGTAAGGGGTGGAAAGGGCCTCTTTCGGAATAAGAATACAAAATTACAAATTCAAAATTGCACCCAGGACCTTGGAAGGAGTCCCGTGGAAGGGAGGGCCTGGACAAATCTGTCTCAGACGCCACCAGTTAGCTGAGAGATCATTGGAGCAAAGCCTTTGGCCCATGAGATGATGGTACAGGGAGCGGTGTGGCTTGAGTAAAATGCTATAATTTTGAAGGAAGGAGGAAATCTTGGCCTGTTCATCTGTCACTGAAGCAGAGATAATGACAGAGCTTGGAACACTAGAGAAACCCCCTCAAGGCCTTCTTTAGCTACGGAGTTCAATCCTGAATGTCATGTGCGACCTTAGGCAAATCACGTGCTCTCCAGGCGCCAGTGTCCTACCCAGTGAAATGTGGCTGGGGGTTGTTACAGTCTCTGCCTTTTCCAAAAGAACCCTCACGGCTCTCTCCCTGGAGCTCCACAAAAGCTAAGAAGCTTCTGGAGGTGGGTGAGTGCTGGCTCTTTTTTCTCCCAACTTTTCCCAACAAAGGGAAGCACCCGGAAGGAGGCCTTACAACAGATGTCAGCCAGTGGGAAGTGGAGCCCCCAACCTGGGATGAATAAGGAGATGGGATGTATAGGATTCCCTTGGAGACAGAAATAAGGTGTTAGTTAAAAAGCCTGCCGGGTGGCTTAGATGGTTAGGCAACGGACTTCGGCTCAGGTCTTGATCTCGTGGTTCATGAGTTCGAGCCCCGCATGGGACTCTGCTGACAGCTGACAGCTCAGAGCGTGGAGCCTGCTTCAGATTCTATGTCTCCCTCTCTCTTTGCCCCTCCCCCACTTGGCGCACGCGCAAGTCTCTATGTCTCCCTCTCTCAGATTCTATGTCTCTCTCTCTCTCTCAAAAATAAATAAAAACATTAAAAAACAAAAAAAAGCCTGACGAGTTGGGCTCTGGTCCCTACTCTGTCACTTTCTAGCTATATGATCTCAGGCAGGTCCCTTTAGTTGGGTCTGATTTCCTTGGCATTTAATTTATAGGATGAAATGAGAAAATGTAGGCAAAGCACTCAGGAGAACATCTGTCTCTTAGTGAAGGGCTTCATAAATGTGAGTTCTTAAAATAATAGGTATTGCAGTCACTGGTGCAGGTGAGGTGGGTAACTCCCCTCCCAGATCCCTTCCTGCCTGTCCTGCTCCAGCCTCTCTCGCACTGGGCTCCTTGGGGCAGGACGAGTGCGCTCCGGGGGAGGTGGGCGGGTCCTCATTCCAGCTCCGCCAGAGCCTGCTGAGGCAGGAGCCAAGCCGCTGAGCTGCGGGTTTGCACCTGACAGATACCTTCCTGCTTGCCTCCTTCCAGAGCAGACCTCCTCATCACCCGGAGCCCTCTCTCGGAAACAGTCATGCCCGTGACAAAGAGTGCCGGGGGCCCCCAGGGAGCCGTTGACCTCAAACTGGACCTCAGGTACCCACCCAAAAGTGCCAAGAGGCTGCACAGCAAGGACTCCAGTTTCTGGGATGGACACCCTTCCGAGTCGCCAGGCTTAGAGAAAACCACAGGCATAACGTGAGTGCTCTTTTCTGCCACCCCCATTTCTGCCTTCGAGCCCGGACGCTTGCCTTGGCAAAAACCCTCGAGTGGCTGCGTCTGACCCCCACCCCATTGTGCAGATGGGAAAACCAAGGTCACAAACGGAGCAGTCAGAGACTGGGTCCAGATGAGAGCGGAGACTTGTGGTCCCGCCCTCCACAGGTGCAGATGGGGACGTTAAGGCCTAGTTACCCCAGGCCACGCACTGGGCCATTGGCAGGAGGGGCGCTAGAATCCAGTGCTGGCCCTACGTCAGTTTTGTTCCTGGTCAATCCTGACCACTGGGAAGTGGGGCAGAATCCCCAACTTCTCAGAGGAGAAGGTGAGATCTGGGCTTAAAACCACAGTGGCCTCACCGACAGCCACGCCTTACCCACCACCCACCCCATCCTCAAGCTACCCTGGCCTCTACTTCGGCGTCTACTTCAATGGTGAGGACATCAAAAGCACAGTATGAGGAAGACTTTCTTCCACCTCCTTGGGGTGTGTTTGGGAGTGGAGGGGGCTTGGAAACCATGACAAGGAAGGGTCTGCAGAAGGAGTTTAGGTGGGGAAGCCAAGCTACGGGGCTCAGCAACCTCGGCGTCCACCACTCAAGCAGAGTGGCCAGTCCACTTAGGAAATGTGGGTGAGGTGGCGTGGTGGAGAGTGCCGCCGCTTCAAGAGAACCTGTTGACCCCACTGGTGTAGTAGAAAAAACACCTGCGTTTACCTTGTGATTCTGCACCTTCCCTTCCCCAAGCCTCAGTTTTCCCCGTATGCAAAATGGGGCTAATTTGGCCTCAGCACGAATTTAGAGAGGCTGCCTGTGGGAATTACACCTGAAGGGAGGGGACGAGCAGCGGGGAGGGCGAGCAAAGCTCCTTTCCATTGCTGCCCAGGACCCTGTGGACACGATGACTCCACCAGACAGGGCTCAGCTGCCCCGGGGGCTAATCCTGGGGGCTGTGAATTCCTGACACTGAGGGTGAACTCTCCAGGCCTTGGGGCCATCCACTGCTGAGTAGGGATATTTCTCAATCCGAGGCCTTCGGGGGAATAGACTAGCTCTCACGTCCTAAACCGACACGTGGTTTGGAGGCAATTTCAACTACTCAAGAATCAAAGAAATAAAAGCATGAGAGAAGTAGAGGGATCCTCTGTGGCTTTTGGAGCGAAAGAGAAACAAGTCAGGCAAGCATGGAACTCAGGTCAGCTCACCCGAGTTCACATTCCCACTTAGCTGCTAACTGGCCTGAGCAAGTGACGGAACTTTCTCTGTGCCCCACTTTCTTTTCTGTGAAATGACATTTCACTCCTCCCAGGATGGCTGCAGAGGTGATTTGTACATAAAGCCCTCAAGTACAGCACCCTTAAAAGCTGGATGCTGTGAATCCCAGAAAGGTCCAAGGTCAACAAATGAGTTAGGGCCATAAATCATGGGTCTCCTGCCTCCCAGCCCAGTGCTTTGCCCAGCTCACCCCACTAAGTTTTTAAGTTGGCTGAGTAGCCCAAAGTTAAATTCTGATTTCCTAAGTCCTTTGGTTAGAAATGTCTAACGTGACCTACTGACCCTTTCCTTGTTGCAAAACAAGCCTATTATTGGAGAGCCGGCACAAGTGCTCAGTCAGCGATGCTGACACCCACAGGGAGAGAGGAAGGCAACCGACTCTCCTCCCTCTTTCCCCCTCAATTGTTCTCTTTAACCCTTAACAAATGGATGGGCAGATCCTTGGAAAGCTACAGGATCTAGGGATTAACATAAAGATGAGGGTGGTTGGGGCAATCCTTTAAAAATATCATTCCTCCCAACATTCCAACATTTGCAGAGGCTTAGCAAAGTAGACGAGTTGCCCAAGATGACACAGCTAGTTAAGTAGTGGCCTTGGGATTTAATCCCGGGTTCGTCCAACCTCAGAAACCAGGCTCCTTCCAGAATACATCACAGTCAGTGTCCTTGCTGGAAAGCTCCCGTAGGGTACTTCCAGTGTTTCTAAAGTTGTGGATGTGAACCCAACACCCACCTTGGTTTAACCTGGTCCACGTACAAAGAGGTATAGCAATAGATTGTTTTGTAATTCACCTCCCTGGAACTTAGCCCTGATGGTGTCCTTCACACAACCTTCCCTTCTGTCTTAAAGAAGGGGTCTGAGTTTTTGGTTTTGTTTTTGTTGGGGGTTAAAGGAAGCAAGCCACTCCCTAGCTTGATGTCCTGGCCTGAGGGGCAAAAGAAATTCCTCTGGAGCCCAGTCTTCAAATGATCCTGTCTCAATAGACCCCATCTGGAGACCCAAGTCATCTGACCTATTTATTCAGAAGTCACCATGATTTCTCTTTACTGCCAGCCCTTTTCCCTTTTCTCTGAGTTCAGTCCTATTTCAGCTACTAGTTCTCTGACCTTGGATCATTCCCTTTCTGGGCTTCTGTTTCCTCGGTTATGAAATAGCATTATCCCTTTATGCATCTGTCTGGGCCTATTTCTAGGAGGCAGTCCAGTGAAAGTGGGGTAAAGAACAAGGACTCTGAGGCAGTTCTGGGTTCAAGTCCTGACTCCCTAGTCTATCTTTGGACATATCGTTAAAAAAAAAAAAAAAGATCTTTGTGCTCAGTTTCCTCATCAGCAAAATAAAAGCAATAACCTACTTCCTAGTCTTGACAAGGGGTTAAATGAGGTAATATGGGTAAAGTACTTAGCATAGTGTCTATTATATACTGAATATTAGAATCGTATACACTGAGTGTTAGCTGCTAAAACCAGAAGAGTTTTGGCAAACTGAGATGGTTGGTTACCCCACAGGAAACCCAGAGGTGCCAGTCAAGGCCATGGGGACCGAGAGATGGCCGGGAACCCGCCTATCCAGCTGAACTCTGGTGTTGGCATGCTGTGAGAGGAGCCTGTTGGACCTCCTCACCTTCAAACACCTACACCCTCATGTCTCTTCTCCTTTAGAGCATTCCAGACTTTGGTTCACCTGGTAAAAGGCAACATGGGCACAGGGATCCTGGGACTTCCCCTGGCTGTGAAGAATGCGGGCATCCTGGTAAGAGGGGCTGC